TGCAAATCACGTCTAGTCCTAAAAAGACTGGGAGATTAGGTACAATGTAATCTTCATCTCTCCACTTATCGCTAGTTTCCTGTATTTAAACTACTGAAGCCCTCCCTTTCTACCTGGAATAGATCAAAGAATAGGCTGTAGAACCTTTGAACCTAAAGGGATTCTATAGGGAAAAGGGTCAGAGGAATTTAGAGTTGGAAAGTAAGTAAATCCAAGCCCCACATCTAATCCAGCCTCTTCTGTTCACAGGTGAGGAAACAGGCAGTGTGATTAAGTGATTTGCCTCGAGTCAAGCAGCTATTGGGTGGCAGCACCTGGATTAAGGGAGAAAGTCTGTTTTTCATCTTTCCATTATGCCATAGACAATCTGACCCCCAGTCCATCATCATCATTAATGAGCACTTTAAGGTTTAGGAGCAGCTGGTGGCATGGATTAAAGGGATAGACTTGGAGTCAGAAAGACCTGAGTTCAAATCCTGCCTCAGACACTACTGGTGGGACCCTGGGCAAGTAATTTGACCTAACCTCTGTCTCAGTTTCCTCAACTGTAAAATGTAGATAATAATAGCACCTACCTCACTGAGTTATTGTGAGGATCAAATGAGATTTGTAAAGAGGGCTTAGCACAGTGCCTGGCATATAGTAGGTGCAATAGAAATGCTTCTTTCCTTCCCTTTTCCCCAAACACTTTACATGTATTACCTTATATGAGTCTCTTTTGGGTTCTTACATTTTCCATATGTTCTAAAGTCCTAACTATTTTCATTTCCTTATGGTATTTTTATCATAATATTACTTATTATACAGGTTGTGTTACTATTTCTTCTCCTGTGTCACCTTTGACTTTAGGTTCAGAAAACCCAAATTTGTAGGATGAGGTTAATTTGAACTGAATCTAAAATCTACAACATACTGAAGATGGAAAATTGCATTGTTGCTTGCCTTTGCTGTAAAGGAGCCATGACCTTATTTTTGTTCTGGCTAGAGGTGGGAAAAGAGCAGAGACCACTGAGAAATGCCTCTCACTGGTCAATCCAATTTAAAAATTTTTCAACTATTCGGCTTTGTATTTCTAATAAAGTGCATTCCTCCCCTACTTCCTTCCCCTCCCCCATTTTGTGGAAATGACCATGGGTTCTCTAAAGTCATGGCAGCCAAGTATGAACTCTAGCAGATTCTACCAGGTTCAAAACTTTGGGCCCAGTGATAGACTGTCATCCAAAGAGCAGAACAGCTCATCACCAGAAGCTGGGCCAGCTGGTGAATTTGTGTGTGTGACTGTGACTTCTGGAGTCAAAGGAGCCTGGTTCAAATCCTATCTCTTCACCTCCCTGAGCCTCAGTTTCCTCATCTGTTAAAAAACAAAGGGGGGGGAGGCTAGATAATAATCACACCTACATGACAAAGTTGTTTTGAGGATCAAATGAGATAACACATGTACTTTGCAAAATTTAAAGTTCTATATAAAAGCTAATTATTATTATTAGCTGGCCTCTGAAGTTCCAGCCCTAAATCCAAGATCTATCTATCATGTCTATCTATCTACCCACCCCTAAATCTATTATCTATTAAGGCATGAATCAGAATCCAGGAAAATAGTGGTCAAGTTTTATAATGTAGTAAGACCTGGCATATTGTTGCTGAACATTTGTCATTCCTCTTGAACCAATTTCATTTCAATCACTTTAAAGCTAGACTTAAAACCTTACCTTTTCACTTGAATGCCAATGACATGGCCCTCCCTAAAATACTTGCTGAATAAATGCAGTTTATCTTTATTGACTAAAACACTCTTTATTTTAGCAAACGAGGTTGGACCCTCAGAAATGGTATTGTCTGATAACTGATGATTAATTTAGTGAGCAAATGGGTCTGTCTTTCAGTTCAAGGGGAAAAGCAATAAATTAGTATTTGCAAAGTGCTTTCATCTACTTTGGAGGGAAGGTAAAACATGCATTTGAGATGCTTTCTTAGTCTACAAAGTGTTAGAAATGAAACTGCCTGTGATTGTGTTCAGAGAACACAATGAATATTTGTGTGAATAAATAACCAGAAGAAAGGGAAGAGGAGAAAGAATCTTTTGAAGATGGTTAAATTACTACCTATTTTGATAAACTAATTGACCAGAAAATTAAAAAGCATTTCCTAGAACAAAGATGTTTTCAGTAAGTCAGTAGAAATTTCATTATTATTTTTTTTTTTACTCAGTAAGCAGTACAAAACATGGAACAAATAAGTTGGGAGAGAGATAATAAAAATGAAAAAAAAATTGAGGGAATCTCCCCTCCTCAATTTCAACAATATTGAAATTAAAGTAGGATCTTCAGTATGATTTAAAATATTCTATATGTTTTTGTTATTTACTGGTTTGCATGTTTCTTTCCATTTCTCTCTCTCTCTCTCTCTCTCTCTCTCTCTGACACCTTTAAATGGAAAACAGTTTACCACGGGGGAAAAGAGCAGTGGAGTAGGTTTTAAGATTCTGAGCTTAGCATTGCCTGTCTCCATGTTCTAAATGTTTAATTTCTCAAACACAGTAAATCCAGGTCAGGAAGGGAGCTCTTGAACTATTTTCAGTTGATGTTGTTCTACCTGAGTGGGTTGCTTTCTCTGTGAGAGAGTAGCACATATATTATTGATAATGATTTTACATTCTCCTAAAACTTGTGTTTACTGCTCAGAAATAGCAAGTGTCAGCAACATTTTTTCTTCAGAGAATTCTCTCAAATGGGGGATTGGGAGTTGTCAGGAGCTTGTGAAAAGCTACTCCTTTCAATCTTAACTGTTTGATAGTAAAGCAGCTTCTGAGTCCTGAAGAATGTACCCCAGGCTTGTTGCCACAGTTCAATTTTCTTCCTTCCTTGAGTCATTTAACAAATATTTATTGAGTAACTGTTTCTCTCCTAAAGCATACAGCATATAACAAAGATGAATTATATGTAATTCTTACTCTCAAGAGACTTACAATCAATTAAGCAACAAGCATTTATTAAGTACCTACTATGTGTCTGGCACTATGCTAATTGGTGGGGCTATAAAGGCAAAAGTAAGCATTCCCAGCCCTCAAGGAGCTTATCTTGAAAGCAAAGTTAATTATTTTTAATAACAAGAAGTTGTTTCTAGCCATCCCTCTGACCTGATACCCTCTTTCCCTTCCACTAAAGGTAAATAGTCATACTTCTGGGCACATTTTTTCATTTATTTTTTTTTGAACGTAAACAAAATAAAAATGAGAATTTCCTTATACAAAGTAGAAAAGAAAAAGAAGATTTTACATGTACAATAAAATAGGTTCAATTGTGGCTTTCATGTATTCAATTATCTTGATATAGATAATTTTTGACTCTATTTTTTTCCAACCCAAACCTTTTTTCTTGCCCTCCAGTCTTGAATCTCCAACTGCCTATTGGGTATCTCAGACTTGCCATGTTCCAAACAGAACTCATTATTTTTCCTTCCAAACCCTTAAGCCCAACTTCCCTATTACTGCCAAGGCCACCACCATTCCTCTCAGTTGCCCAGTTCATAACTTCAATATCATCCTTGACTCCTCACTTGCACTCATCTTCCCATATCCAATATGTTGGCAAATCCAAAATCTTTTATATGCTTCCTTCTCTTCTCAAAACTCTAGTCACTTTTGGGACAGCTAGGTGGTGCAGTGAATAGAGCACTGGCCCTGAAGTCAGGAGGACCTGAGTTGAAATCTGGCCTCAGACCAAACACTTGACACTCACTAGCTGTGTGACCCTGGGCAAGTCACTTAACCCCAATTGCCTAAAAAGCAAACAAAAAAACTCTATCCACTCTGGTGCAAGCCCTAATCACTTCTGATCTAGGCTCTTATTATAGCTGGTAGGGTGGTCTCCTTGCTCCAGCCAGCTGCCAAATTGATCTTCCTAAAGCACAGAGAGCTGAATGTGGCTCTCCTCTACTTTATAAATTCCAGTGGCTCCCTATTACTTCCAGGAGCAAATATAAAATCCTCTTTTTGGCATTTAAAGCCCTTCACCACTTGTCCCTTTCCTACCTTTCCAGTCTTTTCACACTTTACTTCACTTCATGTACTCTGTGATCCAGCAGCACCGGTCTTCTTGCTTTTCCTAGTACTAGACATTCCATCTCCCTACTCCATGCCTTTTTACTGCCACCCCCATTCCTAGAATGCTTTCCCTGCTCACCTCTGATTCCTGCCTTCCCTGACTTCCTTTCCAGTTCAGACCAAATCCCACTTTTTGCAGGAGATCTTTCCTGATTCCCTCCCTTGCCCTTCCTATTGCTAGTGCTTCCCTCTGAAATAACCTTTCATTTATACTGTATATATCTTGTATGTATGTAGTTGTTTGTACATTGCTCTCTCTCCCTCTACCCTTCTATTTAGAATGTGACTTCCTTAAGGTAGGGACTGTGTTTTTGCCTCAATTTGTGCCTCAGCATTTAGCACAGTGCCTGGCACATAGTAAGTGTCTAATAAATGACTAACTGACTAATAAATTTGAGATGTCATTTTCAAAGCTGTTCTGATTGTTCCTTTCTGACCTTCTGTTCTTTTCTGTGTACTTTTAAAATGAAAAGATTAAAGAGACATGACTTAAAAAGAGGGGTGGAGGGAAGCAAAGCCAACCAGCACATCAGCTGAGACAGTATGGTCAATATCAGGTTTGGTTTTAGCAATGGTCTTGAAACCTTGGGTTAATGTGCTGGCTATCACATACTAGTTATATGACCTGTGCAAGTCAGTTCACTTCTCTGAATTTCAATTTCCTCATGTAAAATGGCTACTACAACAACAATAATACCTACTTCACAAGGTTGAACGGAGAATATTTTATGAATCTCAAATTGCTATAGAAAATGAACTAATTTAAAAAATTTAATTTCCCTTTTGTAGATGTATATATTACAGGATGAAGATTGGGAAGAAAGTCCCTCTAGGGATCCTAGATATGTTTGAGAACAATTATTTTAGATGGATGACAGGTATATCTGTTTTTCAATAGATATGATATCCAGGCTCTTATTGGAAGAGGCAGTTTCAGCAAGGTTGTGAGAGTGGAGCAAAGAGTCACAAAGAAGCCCTTTGCGATAAAAATGGTGGAAACCAGCGTAAAGGAAGGCAGAGAAGCATGTGAATCGGAACTGAGTGTCCTCCAGAGAGTCAGTCATTGCAATATTGTCCAGCTCATAGAGATCTTTGAAGCCCAGGATCGAGTTTACATAGTGATGGAACTGGCTACAGGAGGAGAACTCTTTGATCGAATTATTTCCCAGGGAACATTCACAGAGAGGGATGCCATCATAATCCTCAAGATGGTTGTCGATGGACTAAGGTATCTTCACAGTTTGCAAATAACTCACAGGGACCTGAAGCCTGAAAATCTCTTATACTATCACCCAGGGGCAGAGTCAAAGATATTAATCACAGATTTTGGGTTGGCACACTCTGGTAACAAAAATGGTAACTGGTCCATGAATACTATCTGTGGGACACCAGAATACATTGCACCAGAGATTCTGTCCAGAAAACCATACACAAACGCAGTGGATATGTGGGCCCTTGGAGTAATAACGTACATTTTACTGAGTGGCTCCCTGCCATTTGAGGATGAAAACCACATAAGACTTTATAGGAAGATCCTAAAGGGCAAGTACAACTACAAGGGAGAAGTGAGTAAAATGTTTTATGTGTATTAACTTAACCTATTGGATAGCATTTGATTGGATTACTGAGTTATTGTTGGATTGTTTAACACCTTCATTCTTTTTCCCTTGTTGGTACTGAGAGTCATAGCCCTGAATAGCTGGGTGTGCTGATGATATGGTACTCTCAGTATGATCTTTAAGTGTTTGCTGAGAATGTCAATGTATTCTGAAAGGCTCTCAATTAGTTATACAGTGCAGCTTCAGTGCCCCGGCCTCTCAGTTTATGTGAGATTTTTAATCTTTTATGGAGACTTTTAGTTTTAATGGATGCATAATATCCATTGTGTGTAATATCCAATATGTGTAATGTCCAATGCAGTCATTGTGGTATAAAAGGAAGAACAACGGATTAAGAATCAGAGGACGTGGCTCTGCTACTTACTACACACTATTTCTTACATATTTGCCTCACTATTATTATGGTCTAAGTTTACGCTTGCTCCTCCCATGGATGCTGTGTGTATTTGTGGGAAGAAGTGAACCAGGTTTTAGGAGAATGTTTTGCATTAACTGTCTTTACCATGTTATTTGAGCGTAGTAGTAGCTGTCCTCTGGGGATCCAACCTACCAATTCAAGGAGAAGTCGGGGAATGCTGCTATTTTTCCTTCTCTTTCTCTTCTTCCTCCTCCTCTTTTTCTTCCTCCTTCTCTTTGTCAAATGTGGTCCCCCTCTTTACATGTGGATGCTCTGTACATAAGAATATAATTCTTGGTTGCTTATATTTTGTAAGACATGTTAGAGTTTAGAGCCTAGATTTTAATAGAAATTCTATTTATTATTATTTTCTTTTTCAAAACAGCTAGAACAATTTATTTTTTGTCCTGTGCAGTTTTCATTTATGATTTCTTGAAATATAGCTCTGAAAAAACAGGCTTTAAAAAAGCCCATTGTGTTTCAAATGGGGCTACTTAACTAGCCTTTAAACCCAAATCACTCTGGCTCTCGTTGAATGGCCAATAATAGCCCCCAAACCAAGTCTTTGTGGCTCATTATTTAGGTTTTGATGGCTTAGAATGAAGGTAAATAGCAATTGTTTTTTTCTGTTCTTGCCAGAAACCTGGACTATCTCTAAGGATCTTCCCATCCTAGATTGATAGTGTTGTCATGGTAAATTGGGCCATTTTTTGTCTCAAAACTTACCTAGCCCTTAGTCATTGAATGGTCATGGCCTCAGACAAACCGAGACCTGGGAAAGACCTTAATTTAAATAGGCCAAAGTTACCCACTGAGCCATTGCTGGTCATCTTGACTTTTGTCTTGCCACTGGATTTTAATGACTCCTGAGGACCGAGTGAGGCTGATGACCTTTTGACGCTCTGCCTCACTTAAATCCAATTCATTCTCAAGTCGAGACATCACCTTCATGATGTCACTAGTCCTCTTTGAGAATGAAAGATCAAGAACAACAACAACTTACTGCCTGTCTGATAGTGGACAAGTCTCTTAAACTGCTTGAGTTTCCTCCTAATGTAAAAGGAAAGGGGACAGCTAGGTGGTAAAGTGGGTAGAGGGTTGAACTTGGAATTAGAAGACCTGAGTTCAAATGCAGCTTCAGATACTTGCTAGCTGTATGACCCTAGGCAAGTCACTTACCCTGTTTGTCTTCAGTTTCCTTATCTGTCAAATGGGGACAGTAATAGCACCTACCTCCCAGGGTTGTTAGGAAGATAATTTAAAATATTTGTAAAGTGCTTTGTAAATCTCAAAGTGCTATATAAATCATACTTATTATTATTATTATTAAAAATGAGAAGGTTGGATTTGTAATTCCATAATCTCTTTCATTTTTAAATCCACGAAATTTTTGTTATGTTCAGAACAAAAAAAAAAAATAGAGGGTAGGTACAGACCCATGGTGTATGAGTATGAGATTAAAATGTCCTTTTGACCATATATGAATCCCTAGTTCAAGGACATTGTTGGTGTATGCTTTTGTTTGCTGTTTTCTATGGAATATATGAGTATATAAGGTATCCATATATGGGGAAAATATTTTAATTTCCTATTGTTAGTTGAGACTACGATTATTAAACAGGAAAAGGAATGAGAATCATATGTGTATTGTTTCCTATAACAAAATGAAGAGAAATAATTGTTATGAATATCAAATATTTTGATAAGTTCCTTTTGTGTGTGATATAATTCCATTTCCTCATTCCACACCAATACTAAATCAGTTATTCATTGAAGATTACCTATAAGATTAACTATTTCATTTTGGGGTGTTGATGACCTGTATGAGGCACTTAAATGTCACTCTGTTGCCTAAAACATCTTCCCCCTGTTCCTCCTCCCACCCCTAAATCCTACAAGTTCAAGTTCATTCTTGACAGCCTTTGAAGTCCTATGGCACTTACTATTTGCACTGCTTATTTTATCATTTAACTATAATAAAAAAGGTGATGTAGAATTACCTAATTGCTTCATGTCTATATGTCTCTGTAAAGCGTGTGTGTGTGTGTGTGTGTGTGTGTGTGTGTGTGTGTGTGGGTGTGTGTGTGTGTGTGGGTGTAAGATTTTCTAAATATTTAGACATGTCCCTTCTGGTGTATAGATGAGGTCTGGCCTATCTTTTTAGAAAGTAGGAGAAAAACCACGTTGATGCCACCAGCATACAGCACATACACACTACAGTTTCTAAGAATGGTTACAAGTTAGACTTACATCTCTCTCTCACCTACTAAACATCTGTAGTCTAGAGGTACAGTGTTAGGAATTAAGGAGGAAAAACACTCCCTTGATCGCTTTTAAGGATAATCCTTACCTTCATTTGCCTACTTAAACCCTTCTACCAAATGCTTGTCAAATGAATGAAACGTAGTAAGTCATGAATTGAATAAACCCATTTTCCCAAGCAAAATAGCAAACTGAAATTGGAGTTCTACAGATTAAAATATACTAACAAATACACAGGAGTGAATGAGTTCATCAGCTGGGAATGAGATAAGATCTGAGTTCAAACCAGGAGAAAGAACAATCTTAGAGAAAGGCCACTCTTAGCAGTCTCTACAACTGCAAATCCTGGAGATCAAGGAACATGATGGCATTGGTCTAGTCCACTATTCAAAAGTCTGTCTCTCTCAATAACCTCCCTAGATGTTCCCCTTTCCATGTGTGTCCCCAAAATCTTTCCAAAGTCCCTGCAACAAGTTGAAATAAATCCCTTAAATAGCATCACACTCCAAATTCTTTCAGCCAATTAAGAGTTGTCTCTCTTGTTTACACAACACAAGCCAATTTCTCGACAAAACTGACCCAAGCTTGGGCAGGAGTAGGATTACACTTTATTTTTCCAATGAGACTATAAACTCCTTGAGAGCAGGAATTGTATTTTATAATCTCTCACATGTATCATCATGATATGCCTCAGTGCTAATTCACATAGAAGGCATTTAATAAATACTTATGAAGTTGTCAGGAATCCTTAATTAAAATACATGACAAAAACTTATCTTTGCATCTCATGTATTCCACTGTTCTGAGCATTTGCTTTCAGTAATTTCAGTAAGGTACAAGCTTTTGATTTATGAGAGCTATCCTGAATTTAATTTTCTGAATTTAATCAGTTTCACAGATAATAAAATCTCAAAGCTGGAAAAGATCTTAGAGATCATTTAATCCAATCTCCTTATTTTACAGATGAAGAAATTAAGTAAAATTTACTTTACTACCTAGGTTACCTTGGGCAAGTTATTAAACTTCTATTGGACTCAAAGTCAGATTAAGGCCATTTAAAATATTTCACCCATTCCACACTCCCAACCTCCTACTTTCCATACATAATACTACATGCTAACACTTCTACTTGTTGAAATTAATCTTATTATCTATAGAAAATTAAGAAAGGTGGGAAAAGATATATCTACTCGCTGAAAGGAGAAACTTGCCCAGTAGAGACAAAAGTATCAAACAGGCACAGTCAACTCTGTGGAAAAGAAATATAGAGGAAAGGACCCTGGGCCAAGCCAAGGGATGATTTCTCTTTGGTCACATTAAATGGCCATTGTAATGGCTTCTATTTTCCACATTGTGGTAAAGAGTTCACGTCAAGGTTGGAGAACCATTCTCTTGAACACTTCCAACAGAAGCCTTGATTGTCTCTGAAACCACCAAGGTTCTACTTCTCAATCACTTGGAAGAGAAACACCGGGAGGTGCATTTTGGTCCAAAGCACAAAAAGTTATTAGTTATATCTCTGGTTATCACGTCTACCTTGTGAATGAAGCATAGATATGAAACAGAGTATTGTAATGCTGTCTAGTGATAACTCTTCCTTTAAGTCCTTTGCTAATGCCTTTATTAAGATTTCATGATTAAGGAATGTGAAAAAAAATAGCTTAAAGTTTCTGAATTTATTTACTGTAGCAGATTGTGGGAGATCCTTGAAGGCAGGATTTTTTGTGGTTTTGGGATTTTTTTTTGGTCTTTGTTTTAGTATTTCTAATCCTTAGTACAGTGCCTGGCACATAGTAGGCACTTAATAAATGTTGAGTCTGATGTTAACTGAAATGCATGAAAACCTCTAAGATTATCAATTTAAATGTCTGTCCTATAGCTAGGTTTCTGTATAGTATTTTATAATACAAATATTTTTAATAGTTCATAGTCTTAATCAACTAATAGCATCATCTTTTTCATCTTCAAAATGAAGTTGTTTAGGAAGACTAGTTTAATATTAGCTCAAGGAACCTGAAAGATTAATTGTCACTATTGTTGCACATGAAGGGAAGAAGGGACCTCATGCATTCTTGCCTAATTATACTTCATGCCACCTCTATAAGTTACTTGAATGCAGAAGTTGCTGATGGAATGGACATAACCACCAAGCTAACTGGTCAAGCAGAATTTGGTAAGTAGAAACTCTTATAATCTTAGGAACTAGCACTGACCAATTTGAAAGAAATGCATATTTGCCAAAGATTCTCTCACTAAAGAAAAAACTGCTCACAGTGTTGCATTTACA